GTGGTAGTGGTAGTGGTAGTGGTAGTGGTAGTGGTAGTGGTAGTGGTAGTGGTAGTGGTAGTGGTGGTGGTAGTGGCAGTGGCAGTGGCAGTGGCAGTGGTAGTGGTAGCGGTAGCGGTAGCGGTAGTGGGAGTAGTAGAAGACGTATAGTAGTGGTAGTAGTTGTTGTTGTTGTTGCTGTTGTAGATGTAGTAGTTGTTGTTGCTGTTGTCGTTGTTGCTGCTGCTTTTGCTGTTGTTGTTGCTGTTGTTGTTGCGGGTCGTCGTTGTTGTCGTTCTTGTCGTTCTTGTCGTTCTTGTCGTTCTTGTCGTTGCAGTAGCACCAGCAGCAGTAGCAGCAGCAGCAGCAGCAGCAGCAGCAGCAGCAGGAATAGCAGCAACATCAGCAGCAGTAACAGCAGTATTGTTTGTTGCCACTGTGGCTGTGCATATCGTTCTTGTTGTCTGCTGTTATCGCTGTACTTGGGGTGGCTGGGGAGGAGAATCAAAGGAGGTGGAGAAGTGGCAGTCGCAGCCGCATTCGTCGCACTATAGATTTGTAGCGCTCACGATGAATGTTTGCAACATCGCGGTCAAAGTCACAGGTTTCGCATGTCGCACAGCGTCGCAGACATATGTAACGGTTGCACAGACACGGAATGTCCGTCTTTCGATTTCACGGAACATGTTTGTACTTGCTGCACTCATGGGAGCGCTTCCGACAACCGTTTTGACCAAACAAGTCCTCTTCTGAGGAAGAAGGTAACGGCTTTGGGCTTTAGACCCAATTCCTGGCCCATGGCCTTCTGATACATCTTCTTCAAGAAGGGCACCTGGCGCCGCCGAAGCTGTCGAAGGTCGTAGCAAGTGTCCTTTTGGGGGCTCGCATGGTCACATCTTTTCTCTGAGGTTCAGGGCCAGACCTGCCTTCCAGAGTTCTAGCTCATCCACCTGGAGCCCTGCCGAACATCGTCGGCGTAACAATCATCTTGCCTAAACTTGAATGCCAATCAAACCCGCCCAGATGGAAAACCCTGCTGCTCCTACTCCTCCCCGAATTTCTCTCGACACGTGAACCCCAGACAGCAAGTGTAAGGTCCACAGCGTGCAGTATACTCAGATTTTCGGGCTCTTTCCAGGCTCTGAAACCCGACACCCGCGCGCTGAAATCGCCTTCGGCATCACCAAGAGGTGTTCCCTGCCCACAGGATAGCGGTGCTTCAGCACCAACAGCTCGAAGGAGCGATGCAGCTCGTCGAAGTCTGGGCAGCTGCGGCGGGAGGGCGTTAGAAGGGAGGACAACAAGCGGATTTACGGATCAAAAACAAGGGATCATTGACTGAATGTCTGAACTTTTTGTTGCTTCTGATGCCGGCCCCCTGCTCGCTCTTTGTTTCTGTGTTTATCTATTGTTCTTTATGTCGTTGTTTATTGTTGTATTTGCTTCGTTCTGAAGTTCGCTCGTTCGTTGTTCCTGTCTGTCACTCTTTCTTTCTTTATTTCTTCAGTTCCTTAATTATGCTTGTGCTTCTTGATTTTGTGCTGTCTTATCATGTCTCTCTCTCTCTCTCTCTCTCTCGTTCGCTTTCTCGCTCTCGCTCTCTCTCTCTCTCTCTCCCCCTCTCTTTCTACCTCTCTCCCTCTCTTGCTTTTTGTCAGTATATATGTAGGCATGTGTGTATGTGTGTATGCATGTCTGTATATACGTGCAGACGTCAATACGTGTGCACAGGCATTTATACAAATTTACGTATGTACGTATGTAAGCATGTATGTACGTCTGTATGTACGGATGGCTATGTGTGTGCCTGTCTGTATGTAGGTATGTTCCTAATGCATATGTACATACGTTTGTATGTGCATGTGTATGTATGCATGCATGTATGTATTTCGTATGTATGTGTGTCTGTAAGCATGTAAGCCTGTATGTATGCATGTATGTATGTGTGCATGCACGTGCATACATGAGTGCGTGTGTGTATGTGTGTGTGTGTGTGTGTCGGCGGGGGCGGGCGGGCGGGCGATGTACATACATGTGTCCACGTCAATGTGTAGAAACATCCTCACATACACAGCTATGTACGTATGTATGTATGTATG